GCGGCCTTCGGCCGCACTTAGGGATTATAACCCTCAGGCAGTAGAATCCTCCTTTCTGTTTTGCGAAAAAAAGGAGCTGACCACCTTTTGCAGAGATCACCTTTCTGCGTAGGCGGCCCGCGGCCGCACTTAGGGATTATAACCCTCAGGCAGTAGAATTCTCCTTTCTGTTTTGCGAAGAAAAGGAGCTGAACACCTTTTGCAGAGAACACCTTTCTGCGTAGGCGGCCTTCGGCCGCACTTAGGGATTATAACCCTCAGGCAATAGAATTCTCCTTTCTGTTTTGCGAAGAAAAGGAGCTGAACATTTTCTTTTGTATTGATTTCCCCTGTATTCTTTTTTAATCATTGCCTTCTTTGTATGTATTGTTTTGTACAATATGGCAACACATGTTATGTGTCAGTTTGCAACCATGTGTTATTGTAAATATGCGTGAAATTCAATGTAATTTACAAGTCGATAAAAGTTTAATTAAAGTGATTTATATACAAGATAAACTAAAAGAAAAGTGTGTAAAGTATTAAGTACAGTTTTATGTGCATTTATATATATAAAAGTATGCACAAATGCTTTTTTGTTAAGGAAACCAAGTGGAACGACTTAAGAAATTTTAACAAATAACTTATAAACAATGATATTATTTATATTTTTTAGTTATACATGTTTTAGAGGATACCTCCCTTAACATCCTGACCAAGTTTCATTTGTTAATTCCACCTGGTTTTCTTAAAACACAAGGTGCGGCTGACTACTAAAGCCCACCCCCGGACCTTTTTTTTAGCAGTTGTTACCCTAAACTAGAGAATTACTTTTTTTCCACAGCCTGGATCCGTTTTGAAAAAATTTCCCGCGATTAGCTGAAAGGCCGCTTACACCAGGCGATTGTTGCTTTCAACTAAAAATAGCCGCATGTAAATTCTCTATAAGACATCCAACATGCAAAACACACACACAGCCGTTTCATACATTTCTGGTAATAAAAACTTCCACGTCGCACTTTCTTCGAACCAGCCACTAGCAGTTTCATTTACATTTAAGTGATTTCATTTTATATTTCTGTAAAAAAAAACACGATTTCTACATTTCTTCACTTATTCTAAACTGTTATGGAGCAAAACAAGATTTATACTCAGGCCGATTCTGAAAAAAAACTCCCCGGGAGCTTTTTTCTTTTCCCTTTCCACCCATCATGAATAAAAATTCCGAGGATCTTTTATTTTAAATGACGGAGATTAGCTGTCAAATACCCCCTTCGTGGTTAGAATTTCCTCCTCCCAAATTTTCGGCGAAACGCTACTACCGAGGAGTTAATTATTGGAAGATTTCTTTCCCGGTAGAAACAAATTTTTTATTTCCCTTTCTTTGAGCGTATACATTTCCAATTGCAATTTCTCAAACGACTTTCAACATTTATTTAATATAATAACCATTAATCAGCTTAAAAAACAAACTGCGTTTATATGCACGGATATGTACTCATCAGAACACAAATTACCTACATATATTATTTCACTTTATCCTAGTACTTCACTGCAAAAACTTGCTATTCCTCTAATTAAATCACAAATAGATATGCAAACGATGCATCGATGTTCCCGAAACATCGATAATAAGGGTTCAAAATTATATTTTTACCATCGATGTTTAAAATTTCCTAAAGCAGGCCACAAACGGTCAACAAATCGCAACGATCGGTTGAAATTAATTTGTCCATACACGTATGTTTTTGCTGACGACTTTTATTTCACTTGGGAAATGTTTAGTAGCGCTCAGGGCCTCCCAAACCCTCCCCAATAGAAAGGGGACAGTCCCCGCTTTCTGAAAAGGCGTATCGCCTCCTTGGGCTCCTCCCACAGGCCCCTAGGGAACCGTTTGAAAAAGGGGGAAAAACGGAATTCTCGTAGGCAAACTGAGCAGTTTGAAGTGGAATATGACCCAACTAACAGAAACTGTGGGATTTTTTAATAAAAGAAATTATGCCAAATTAGATATCGGGCGATTTTGAATAAAGAATAAAAAAGTTAATTAAAAATAGAAAAACAAGTTTTTATAAAAAAAAAATTTCTTTTTAACAAATGTATTTTTGCAGAGAACACCTTTCTGCGTAGGCGGCCTTCGGCCGCACTTAGGGATTATAACCCTCAGGCAGTAGAATTCCCCTTTCTGTGTTGCCAAAGAAGGGGGGCTGAACACCTTTTGCAGAGAACACCTTTCTGCGTAGGCGGCCTTCGACCGCACTTAGGGATTATAACCCTCAGGCAGTAGAATTCTCCTTTCTGTTTTGCGAAGAAAAGGAGCTGAACACCTTTTGCAGAGAACACCTTTGTATATGTTTAATGCTTACTGGGTTATATCCTATCTTCTTTTGTCTCTCATTCTTTTGCATATTTCGGAGTTTGATAGCTGAACTCCGCCATTTAATTTGCATATGCAACCAAAGCCAGACGCGTGATTTTGAAGGTGTTTTTATTTAATGAATTGTGATTAATTGGTTAATATTAAAGTCGTAAAGCAAGTTATAACTAATCGAGTAAAGTGTAAAGTGAAGGGGAATACAAAAATGAATTGGTGAAGTGGCTGCTTTAAGGAGAATAGGAGTGATAAATGTACGCTGATGTCCAAATTATACAAAAAAGGGCATATTTCAAACCCAATTTGTAAATAAATTATTGACCAAAATTTACAAAAGTGAGTGTTAAAATAATGCGTAGGCCCTTGACTACAAGTGTGTGGATTTTTTTTTGGATCGGGCCACCCCTTTGGACGGAATAGCCCGAAATAGTTGTGAGCGCTACTAAACCCCACCCTTTCATTTTGCTCGACGCCGGTTCTACGTGCCGGAATGACTCGGGTTTTAGCCGGACAAGGTCTGTTTCTTCGGCGGTCCAACTCCGTTTAAGTCCCTCAAAAGTTGTACGCGCATAGGCTACATCGCACATTCGCACACTTCTGCTCAGGGCCGGCATCGAGTCGAACTCTGGGCCAAAAACCTATACCTGCTGCGTGTGCCACAGATGACTAAACCATAACTCTACCTCTGCCAGGCGCAACTCCTGTAACGGCAGGAGTCACCTCCGAGTTTGCTCAGGCTTAACGACTTACAGGCAATGGACCACTTCATACGTGGCTCCTTGCTGCTCGAACCGGTACACCAGAGTTCTCCTGAGCAGCGCAACAGAAACACTACCGCACCACCACCTAAGCGCACATTGGCAAATTCTCTTAATCTAGCACGAAAGAACCCCTAACTTTCATTTAAAATCTTGCAGAGCTTTGAAATTTCGGACGAAAGCACAGATGGGTTAACTCATACTTGTAACAAAAAATGTGAGGTTTAAGTTATGAGTTATAAGAAATAATGGAAAAAATTAATGTTGAAATTCGATACATTTACTAAATATACAGAGATGTTATCACACAAGGCGGAGGAACCTACAGTTTTACAGTCAAAGTTCAGATCAAAATTTATTTTCTGAATTTGTATAAAACGTTTCATACCATATATTAACAAAATTAATTATTATAATCAGGTTATAGAGCTCATTGTTAAATAAATATGTAATTAAGTATGTATGTATACATATATGTATATATTTGATTTTAAATATTTCGAAGGAAACGATGGATTCTGTTGCATTTGCAATTATAGCAGCGGAGTAAGAGTAGGTACGCTATGAGAATGATTTCCCAAAGATATGCGGAGCTAACGGGCATAGTAACCATTGGCGCATCTGTGTCAGCTTCTGGTTGAACCACAAGCCAAAACTCCTGCTATGCTGGAAGAACTGTCTCACAATCCAATTAATGCAATAACGGCTTATTTCAAGCCATTAAAGACATGCACTTTGCTAGGTCCACCACCTGTTGCTCTTGCTTCTGGCTTCGGCCGCGCTTAAGGATTATAACCCTTACTAAGTTTATTTCTCCTTTCTGCCGGAAAAGAGGGGCTTCCGCATGTCAAAGGTATACAACATTTCTTTGCATATCACTCCGACTACGCCATCCACAGTATTTTTGCGCAGAACTCACACTGAAATTTGCAAATAAGTGCATAGTGCAAACCGAACTTATTAATAAGCTGTTGGTCGAAAATTTTAACCATTTATTTTAAATAAGAGTTTAATCCTTTGATTACACGTGTATGTTAAAGTTTTTGCATTCGGGTTATGCATTCGGACAAAACAGCCGAAAATCATTACACAAATAACTAAACCGGATCCGGGCTTCTCGATAAAGGGCAGCAAAGATTCTTTTTTGCTCGTTTATCTAAAGCAGTGGATAAAGATATACGTATATGCAAAAGGAAAATTTATCTGTTTAAATGAACACCACTAATATTTCCTACAAACACACATCGATTGACATATTTTATCTCTCTTCCGAAACAGAATGGTTTTCGTACAAAATTATGCAAACAAGTTTAGTCGTTCGTTTTTAGGCATGCCATTGTTACGAATTTCGAAAGTTCGAAAATACTATTCGGTTTCAGCATACTATTTCTACGATTCGTTGCAAAATCCGAATACGAAAAGGCCCGTTTACATACAACTTTGGCGTTGCGTTGGCGTTGGCGTCGCTTCGACAGCTGACTATGAATACATGTATTTATATGAAAGTCTCCATATAACCAAAGTTGGGCAACGCCAACGCCAACACAACGCAGAAAGATGGCCAACTCTCAACTTTTCGCGCGCGTCGTTCGTCAGCTGTTCTAAATAATCAAAATTATGTGATTTAATTTTAATTTTTAATCAAATGCGGGCAAGAAATATAGTTTTTAATGCAATTATTGATGTAAAAATTTTGATTTATCAGCCGCTAGTATGTTAATTTAGTGACCAAAGTATTCTGTGCTAAGCGTTCATTGTAGCAAGCACGGGCGTTACGCGCGCCGCTGTCAAAGCGACGCCAGCGCCAACGCAACGCCAAAGTTGTATGTGGACGGGCCTAAAGAGTTGCAGAATAGGGGTGGTTTCCCATTCCTTTAATAGTTGTGTTTTCGTATTCTCCAGCAAAAAATATCCAGTATCTTGCTAGTAACCAAATTTCGGAGCATGAGATAGATACGCAAGAAAGAACGATAACGCAAAACCAGCAAGAAATGGCAAGTGTTATGAACAGCTGTTTAATTTATTATTTTCCGACGCAATTTTCTAAGAAAAATAGTATTTCCCATCTTAGTATCCATTTAAATAGGTTTATTTTGTCAATTGCAACTCTAAATGCACCACAAAAAATTCTTTTAATAATGTGAATTGCATTGGGCATCATGCCGTAAGGTGTTGTTCTTACTAGCTGATCACGTTCCCGTGATTACTGGAGTGAGTTGGACAATGAGTCAAG